ACACACACACACACACACACACACACACACACACACACACACACACACACACACACACACACACACACATTAAACCATGCATAATGTTAATGGTGATTACACTCATGTCTGATTTTGATGCCTCATCTCCAGGGTGACATGACCACTACATGCACCTGTTTCCTGATCATTATGAGGAAACGTGTCTCATTGACCAGGCTGAAACTAAATGAAGGGTTGTTGGTGCAGCAACAACACACCACAGGCTCTTTAAACGAAATCATTAGGATCTAATTGAACACGTGTAATTCCCTGTGCAGCAGCATGAGATGAACTCTTCTTTTACATTTGCATAAAAATCAGGMAGATTAACTCAGCAGTTTAAAACTCTACACTGAAGGCTCTTTTTTATGAAAATTAACAACTCCCCCCCTCCCCTCCAGGTTCAATTATTCAATCAGAAGTTCAGTTTTATCAGTTAAATGCAACCACTGCGCAATTAGCAACATCAAAGCTCGCGACTCCCCCTAAAAAACCGTCTTCGCAGTGCATCTCAGCAAGTTTTGTCGCTGCGGTCTGAACTCGACGCTCCATCCGTATCTCTTCCACAGACAGAAACTGTGATAAATAAATGATTTCATACGAGGCGAGTAAATTTCCCACGACGTTCACGTCCGATTAGGAGGTCATTATAATCCGAGAAAAATCCCACATGCGCCGTTTTAAATTACGCTGATTTAACTTTGCTCCAGGCACATGTTCGCATCTCTTACAGCGAAATGCCAACGTCTCTCCATCTTCTGGGGCTCAATTCGATCACCTCAGCTTCATAAAAAAATGTCATTTTGTGGTTTTAGGCAAGGTAGCTTTAACTGAAAAGGTCATTTGCTTATACAAGGGAAGAACTGGAAACAATAAAAAAGAAAAAGCAAATGATGGCAAATTTCAAAATGACTTTTTTTTGGCCTTGTGTCAGAAGAGAGTGACACTTTCAGACTGCTGCTTAATGAGAACAAGAAAGCTATTTTATGGAAATCTGCATCTGAAAGGAATAAAGCAAGACATTTTATAAAAGATGACGAATTTAACGATTCATAACTATGACTCCAAAATAACCCTGGAAGATAGAAATATTAAATAATAAAACAAATCTGATGCTTTATTAAGGAAACATTGATGATGAGGGGATGTGTTTAAAGTCAGGAGGTCTTTAAGACACATTTGGTTTTGTTAGTTGTGGCAGCCATCTTGAATTGGACTGACGTTGAAAGTTAATCAGTTGTAGATGATTATTTCCTGAAAGTTTGAGAAGGGGGTCCTTGCAGTCACAGAGTGGGAGGGTCTTAGGGTGTGGGAGGAGTTTGTGAAAGACCTGATTGATCAGACTGACTATTTTGGGTGGGTTTGAAGAAGATGCAACGATTCGGGCAACTGCTAATTTGATGACAAATGGCAGATATAATACGATTTTTAATTCACTCTTTTCATTCACGACATGATTTACTTTTTATTTTTAGTTTACTAAAGATTTTTTATGAATAAAATCTATTTAATAAAACAAAAACAAAAAAAATCTGATCAAACTCAAGTCAATCCCATCAATCATGGTTTTGCCAAACTCCGCCAACACAGAAACTTCGTGTTAAACTCAAGACCYGAGGGACAAATTTTGCTCGCCACCACATTTCATCTGGCCCATGAGAGATTCAAAGATGTATTAATGTCTTAAAATAAGCGTATGCTGCTTTAAAGCCAGCATTGATCATTCACTACATCTCCCATAATGCATCTGATGATAATTTTACCAGCAAAGTGATGGTTTCCAACCACCAGGTGGAGGTGCACAGGATTTAAAACTATTCGGTAGAGATAAATTTGCTTGTAAATTCTCTATTTAAACTCAACGGTGAGTAAAACGCTGACTTTTAATACTTACCAGTATTTCTGTATTATTTATATCACATTGGGGGCGACTGTGGTGTAGTGGTAGAGCAGCCGGCTTTGGAACCCACAAGTCACAGGTTCGACTCCTTGGGCAAGACACTTCACCCCTAATGCCTCTGATGTGTGTCCAGTGTATGAATGTGATTGGCACTGATTAGTCTCCATAGATGACGGCACTCTACTAGATCTCCTACAAAGCTAACATATTATGTTGGATGATCTGTCTGGGGTGTTGTACCTGTGAGCTCTGGTTCCGAGTAGATGTCGAAGCTGAAGTCGAGAGCACAGCCTCGCTCCGTCACCTGGAACGGGAAAAAGCCTTCGAACAAATCCACGCCAGCCTCCACGCATGCCAGCACCTCATCAGGGCGCCCTACACCCTGCAGCAATCTGACACACACACACAGAATCAACAAGCTGAGACAAACACAGCAGGAAGCATTAAACTTTAATGCAACATGTCTTTAACGCACACAAACATCTTCAGTGCTGCTCAACAACAACATGTGCACTCCAGAGCGTTTGAACTCTCCATTAACCGACCGCCTCTGAAGCTCTCTGGCCCGCGGGCGTCAAGGTCGAGCCCAATTTAGCTTTTCGATAATGACTCCACTTCACTTTCCAGGAGCTGCAGCCCTCCCTCCAGCTCGAAGCAGCAGCAGGAGGGCTGCCTCCCAGCATCTGAGATCAGCCAGCAAAGCAACGCTCACAGCAAGCAGCTGGTAACATTACTGCTCCTCGCAGCTCCACTGCTACAGCCTCTGAAAAGGAGGAGCAAATCCTCCTTCACCTCCAGGAAGAGACGTCTCTGAGGATGATTTAGTCCAGAGTTCAAACCGTCAGCAGCTGAAGTTTGTCCTCATGTCTTTAAAAAGGTAAGAGTTTAAAACATTAGAATATCAGGACCACGGGATCAAAAAGTGGCTGAATTTTCTTTGAGTCAAAGTTTCTGATTTATCACGAACTCCATCGATGGAGTTGGAGACGCACTTCAGCTTTTATCTGCTGATCTGCTGACTCGTAGCTGATTTATGGTGGCATATTTGCATCCGTTTGCGCAGCTCTCTGACCTTGCACAGTGATGGATTTTCAGATGCAAAACTGGAGCTGCAGAGAGGGGCAACGAGCTAACAGCATGGAGCCTCCAGGTGTTGCAGAAAATATTCTGGGGTCCTCTGGAGCAGCCAGGTAATGTTCAGAATTTATGCTCTGTTTTTTTTATCTATCCATTACTGTGAGGTTATAAACAATGACTCCATTGTTTTCCATCAAATGGTTGAATTAAAACAAACAACACAAAAAATATGGAGGAAGGTTATAAATTATGTAAAAACTGACTTAAACATAGTAAAAATCAGCCTTTTTTCCAGTGCTTTAGGATGTGTTTTGGGGTATTTAAAGGGG